TGTTCCTTTGTTCCCACAGTTGGGGTGGGGGGCTACAAAATAGACCAAAGAGAACCCCTAAACACTCTCACTCATAGTCACTAGTGAGGACTGAATGACATATGGTTCCATAAGTCATGCTGGGACAATTGGGTATCCATTGAGGGGGAAAAAAAACGAGAAATTGGACCCCTAACTTCACAGCATATACAAAAATCAGTTTCAATGTATTAAAAACCAAAACATGAAAGACAAAACTATAAATCCTTGAGAACATAATATTGGAGAATATCTTCAGGGACAGGGAAGGATTTCTTAAACAAGATATCAGAAATATTCCCCATAAAAGAAAACATTGCTAGATTTAACTAAATTAAAATAGGTTATGTTCATCAAATACCATTCAAAGAGTACAAAGGCAAGCCACAGAGTGGAAGAAGATACCTGCAACACATATAACTAACAAAGGTATAATATTCAGGCCATATAAAAAATCCCTACAAATCAATGGGAAAAAGACAACTGGATAGGAAAGTGGTCAAAAAACTTCAGCAGGCACTTAGCAAAAGAGGAAATCCAATAGCCAGTAAACGTATGAAAAGGTACTCAGTCTCATTAACGATCAGTGAATTGCAAATTCAAAACACAGTGTTATTTCATTACTTGTTCACCATGATGGCTAAAATTAAAGACTGATAATACCAAGTGTAGACAAGAAAGTGGAACAATGGGAATTGTACACTGTTGGGAGTGTAAATCAGTGACAACCTCATTGGAAAATTACTTGTCATTTTCAGTAGCATTGTATGGCATTCTGATAGTGATTTGGGGTTCTTATGTGTGGCTCACTCAGGGACCCCACACTGGCCCACAGGCAAAATAATTAAGTAAGCAAAACCTCCTGGCAATATTCAGAAAGGCAAGTATTTTTTTAGACTAAACCTAAGAAAGCAACCTTTTAACAGCATTTATGCATATGTTACCAATGCTGAAAACTGTAATCACATTGAACAAAATTATGATTTTCTGATTATAATTCTAACTGTAGATTTAATTGTGTTTTTTTCCCCTACCTAGAATCTACATGCAGTAGCAGTACCATTTATTAGGCATCTTCTGTGCCTGCCACTGTGCAAGGGATATTATTTACATTTTTTGTCCTCGTTCTTTACAACAGCTATGCAAGAGGCTCCAAGAGATTAAGGAACTTGCCGATAGAATGTACTGGCTAAGAGCATATGGGCTCTGGTGCCATTCTGTCCTCACTCTCCTACATATTAGCTGTGTGATTAGGACAAATTAATTAACCTCTCAGTCCTTTGATCCCCTCATCTGTAAAGCAGTGACACAATTTCATGCGTTGTTAGAAAGATTAAATGAGTTAATGTATGTAAATTTTCTAGAAAAGCAACACTAAATTGATAAAAGCGAGTAAGTGATAGAGCCAAGATTCAAACCAAGCCTGTCTCAACTCAAAATCCCACACCTGTTCCACTGCATTTAATGACTATATATTTAGACTTCTCGTCTCTGTTATCAGTTAGTATGTGTTATTTTGTCATAAGCCTGCGTTTTAAAACATTTCTAGGAAATTGTCATGAAAGCCAAGGAGCAACCTTTATCTGAATGATTTTATAAGTTTGTGAGGAGTATGTTCATGCAGATTCATGTAAACTCTTCAAATGAATGGCTTTTGTCTTTTATCAGCATAAAACTATACATTAGTGTTTTCTTTTCTTTTGTGTGCTAGGCGAGTCGCTTGCATCGCCATGGAGAAGACCAAACAGGAGCAGCAGGCCAGCTGTACTTGGTTTGGCAAGAAGAAGAAGCAGTACAAAGATAAATATTTGGCAAAGCACAATGCAGGTAGGGAAAAGTACGACTTACTGAGACCGGGTAAACATCTCAAAGACCCAAGTAGATGTAACATCTCAATTCCGTCTTCAGAGTTCTCTATCCAAAAATTCCACCATATGAGATCTTCATCAGCTTGCAAAAACTTTAAGAAACCTCTCCCTTCAATTATTCTGTTGGTTATTTGCCAGATATTTTACAGAGCTATACTTTATAGGATGAAAATGCTGTTTAGAAATAGTACTCCCTGGAACTCAAAGAACCCAGTACATTAAGTCCTCCCCTGAGAAATGAGAGATTGAGAGTGTGCTGAGTCACCAGGATTGTTGCCTCCTGGCTGAGATTGGTCTTGAGCAAATACCTTCACTCCTGGCTTCTCTCTGGCCCTTGGACCTTGCCCTGTGACACATTCTAAGGGTGAAGGTGCGTTCTTAACAGAGAGCTGTACTGCAGATGGCAGTAACGTTAGATACTAACTTGGTTTGGTCAGTTTCTGTAACTAGTCTTCTTCCTTCATGGTATTTCCTAGATCCTAAAAGACCAAGAACATTATCTTGGCCTTCCCTTCATGGTATGTTTGTCTGTATGGAAGCTTGCATTCAATTTAAGTCAAAATATTTACTTATTTGCTAAAAACTGAAATGAATACCAACAAAGCATGCTCTGTCATTGCAGTAGAATTCCCAGAAGACTCACAGGATGTAACTTAAGTTCAAGAAAATGCATGATGATATAGAGTGGGATTCACTTATTTTCAAGAACTTCTTAATAGGACTCCTTTTATAAGGAGCTTTTTCTGAGGAATTACAAGGCCCAACAGTGACATTAGATTAGTTCCCAAGGTTTCAGAAATCACTCCAAAATTCAAACATGTAGCCAGAAAGGAAAAAAAAATGAGGTGACTGCAACCATGCATGCCCAATTTGACAGTATGTTTCTGACAAATATGAAATGCATTTCCCTCTGTAGAATATTATATTTTATTAGCATTCACTAGGAAAAATTATTTTGCAACTCTGAATTATTCATTTCTTGATCAGAGAGTAAAAGTGAACGCTTGGAAGTACTGTATAATGTGGAATGGAAATGAGTGACCACATGGCTTAATTTTAAATAGTTCAGTTAAGTAAGGAGTCTTTCTCATCACAACAGCTGCATTGTGCCACATTTTTATTTCCAATAAAATGTGTCATTTCTGATTATGTACCACTACAGAACACTAGTCTGATAATGGCTTTTTGTTGTTGTTTTATAAAGGGAAGAAATATTCAAAGTAGATTAGTTAAATATAATTAGTTAAAACTAATTGTAAATGCTTGAGTAGTACTATTTGAAGAAATTTACTGCAGTATCGGCAGAATGTTGTTTTACACAAAATGTCAGTGGTTATTGCCAAGTCTCCATAATCACCTTTATCATTTATCAGCTTCTAACAGGGTCACAAGGTCTGTTGACATTACAAATCTATGTATCACCTTGTAATTTTTACAATAATTTTAAATGGTATATAGATGGCATTAGAATTAATTTTAGCCTAGAAAAGCAAAGAAATGGCCAATTAAGGCTGTCAATTTATCTTATATTCCACTAACAGAGGGCATGTAGACATGAGTATTCAATTTGCCAATATTCTTTAATTCAGCTCTGAGGAAGAGTAAGAAGCCAATTGATTGAAAAACTGGAATCTCTAAATTCTAACAAAGAATCCATTGAATCATTCACTTCAGAACTTTGCTAGAGAATCAGCATCGCATCTGGTGGCCAGTGTTTTCACAGTTCACTTTTTCCATTCTTTGACCACCGGGGCATCACTGATCTTCCGTTGTTCCTGTTCTCTCTGATCATCACAGGTGGTGCTCAGTGGTCCTGCAAACACACCTGTTAGCTTAATAGGCACCCTGAGCCAGGACCAGGAATTAGCACACCTGCGTAACCGTGCAACTCTGGCAAATCACTTGGCTCCTATGGCCTCAGAATGAGTGAGTTGGCTTAGTCAAATCAAGGATATCTTTTCTAAAATTCAGTGGATCTCAGGTTCCTTCATCTCTGGCCCTACAAATGACTATCATTTCATGAAGCCAAGTATTCATTTGCTGTCCCTTATTTAGCTCTGGTAGACGTTGCCTATTTTGAAGGGTGTATCACCCTTGATGGAAAAGGCAGGAACCTCACAGAGATGGAATAGAATTGCCTTTTCTCTGTTGTCTTTAAACACACCTCCTATCCAAAACCATGGACCTGTGTAAGTGCCTGTAAACACAGAACTAAGAAAGGAGAGGGAGAAGTAGGGGAGACTCAGCACTACCACTTTTGTTACCATGGGCACTTTCCTAAGCACTGGTCTTCTGGCCTCAGCCTTCCTCGTCTTGCTTACAGTTCCTTCTGCGTGTCAGTGTGTGTCCCTGCCCGAGACCCTCCTTTGATGGAAAGTCTGAGCTGTTTACAAGGTCCTTGCAGAGCCATTCAACTTTCTTTACAGAACTTCTATTTAGGCTTATTTCCGATTATCTCGTCAGATGTCATCGTTAGGGTTCCCGCCCCCACAAAATCATGGCTCAGGAGCTCTCCTATTAGTTTTCCTGGTGGGAGAAGATGCCCCGCTTTTTTCCTGCACTCTCTAGAGTATGGTGCCTGGCGTGTCCCTTCTGTCACTGTCTCCGCAGCCCTCTTCCCCTTCACCAGACCACTCTTACATTTTGTTCATTATAAAGTTCAGAAGGACCATTTGCTTACTAATTACCTTGACTTTTGAAATGAAACCATCAGGAAGCTTAAGTATTTTATCAGCTGTTCTGCTTTTAGCTATGATGAAAGTTTATCCCAATATGTGGTGTTGCCTATATAAAGAATTGCTCTAAAAGGAACACGTACTGTTGACCTCTGTTGGGAAGGCGGATGCTTTGAGAACGTTAAAATATCATAGTCTTTAATACCAAGAACTAGTCAAATGGGCTTATAGGCCACAAATCAAACTATATTTCGGGAGGATGTTTTCTGGCTTATTCAAAAGTTGATTGTGAAATACAGTGGGGGTTCTTCCCTTAGTCCTCGATAAGTTAAAACAAGGGCCATATGTTTTGTTTTCTGCTTCAAATCTTTGAGAATTCAGCGCGTACTGATGGCAAGATCCAAACCTTATCATTAAATTTTGAAGTTGTTTATATTTGTAGTAAAAATGAAGGATGAGAACTTTGTCAATATCTAGAACTGATGGAAATGAAAAATACTAGAATTATTTCTATTTCTGTCACCAGGAAATTCCACATGTCTAGTTAAACCAGAATTTTTTTTTAATTGGGTTTATTTATTTAATGGAGGTACTGGGGGTTGAACCCAGGACCTCGTGCATGCTAAGCATGCGCTCTACCACTGAGCTCTACCCTCCCCCTAAAGCAGAATTCTGTTCAAACTATGTTGCCTGCACCTCACATTATAAAGTGGCAGTCTATTAGCTGATTGTGACCCATAAATAAGTTTTGTTTTCCCCATACACATGTTTAAAATAACTTTAGTTACCACATTTGAAAACCAGATATTTAACATAAAATCTGGGTTTCTACCTTCCTTTGAAAGACCGGAGGGTGTGGAAATATTAGGCCCACTTTCTCCCGTAGTGACTCTAAGCTGTCAACATCCCTTTTGGATGGACACTCATTCTCTAGGACCCATCGTCCCCAGGGCTCCATTCTTGAACCTGGCCCCCTCATTCAGATGCATTAGCTGCAAACACAGCTGTTAACACACTGTGGGCATTGGAGTGTGCACTCGGCCCAGGGTTACCAGCGTGCAGTGCCTTTTGTAAGTGTAGGTTTGTACAGTATTTAAAGATACTTGTAGCCTTTCTGACTGAGACAATGAATCGATGTTAAAGGCTTATTTACGGAAAATATTCTACTGGAAAGTAGTTACCTAAATACTTTAAATGTCATGAACATTGAGTAGCTTACCAGGAAATCAGGATGATGTCAGCAAAGTATGTCAGACAGTATTTCTGAAGCCTTGGGAATGGATTTGGTTATGGTGTGTGTAATGTTTACAGCAAATACCTTTTCTGCAACACATGAAAGATTTTTAGCCACATAAATTTGTTGCAGAAAGCAGTCATGCTGCTGGAGGAACTGAATTCTTGAGGCATTGAGATTCCTCAGCCCTAGGACTTCCAAAATCAGTTTAAGATCAAGTTACTAATGGAAACTTTTTTTAAAGCCTTCATTAATTCACTTTTTTAAATGTTAGAGCCCTGAACACAGTGGTATTTAAATATCCTGAGATTCCCCATGTACATGCACACATAGGAACAGAGGATTTCTACAGTACCAACTCATAGGTGTGTTTATGCCTAATACCACAGATTAGTACTGTTGGCTTTAAAAAGCTACTACCATTTTTTCTTTAATACAGAGAACTCTAAAGACGACCAGAAGTGGCCCATAATCTCACTGCCCTGTTGACATCTTTTTAATAGTAAAAGTGATAGGCACACGTGATTAGAAAAGGTCCAAAAGGAGGTCTTCTACACCTACACTCCCTGAAGGTTTCTTATAACTATTCCCAGACACAAGGTGTATACATATGCTAGTATATCAAACCCACTGGCTTTTATATAAGGGTATTGTTGAATTTTTATTAAACTGAGTTTGTTTCTTAATGTGATTTATTTGCCTCGTGTTTAGAATATTGCATGGTAAAGTTTCTTTTGTGCATATTATACTTTTATTTTACTAATATATTAAAAGTCATATTTCAATGACCCCTGTACATTTTTCATGCTGTCTTACTCCCAATGGCCTCTGTGCATGTAAGTAACCTGTTGAGTGACTATGCCTCTTTGTTTTTGGTGGTTTCCTCTCATTAAGTCCTTTTTCTTTAATCAGCAAACAGCTTAAAACCTTTAAACGTTGTCTTTCAGTATTCTCCTTACATTCTTTGTGTGTTGTATTTAAAATATCCCTTTTTATTTTTTCTCAATCCTGTGACCATGTGGTGATTTCACTTAGACCAGAATAACCTCTTCATGCTACTCGTTTATGGTTAAGATACTGGTGTGTAACATATCTGTTCATCCGTTTGTCGTGTTGATTGTTGATCTCTAACTCATGTGTTTGGAAAAAATGACTTAACTCAGTAGGACTGGAGTCGGGGCTGTGTAGAGGGAAAGGGATGTGTGTATCACTCAGAAAGCTGTGTCATCATCTGGCTCTTGTGTGAGATGCTTATTTTTATATATTAAAACATATCAGCTTGTTGATGGACCTTTCATAAGCTTACTTTTCTTAATGGAAATGTCACTCAGAGGGCAATAGTTATAAAAAGCAGTGCCGTAAGCTCTCCTGCTTTTATCTTTGCAACCCGTCACTCCATTACCACTGCAGCATGACTAGCGAGCTCTGCCACCCGGAGAACCTCATGTTCATTTTGATTTTGTGAGTCTGCCATTCTAAACACAGAAAGCATTTCTGGGTTTTTAGCTGTTGCTAGAGAATATGCTTTAAAGTCTTTTAGTCAACCTTGGAATCAGGTTATCAAACGAAAACAAATGCACAAATACCCATTAACATGCACTAACCCTTATTGTAACATATTGTGTTTCTTTTTTCTTTTTTTTTTTAAGTAGTTTCGAGAATGATACTTTGTTTGTTTATTTCTGGTCTATTGCATTCCAGAATATCCTATTCTGCATTTTAAGGTTCTTTGCTACCGGGAAGATCACAAGTGTTAAGGACTGAGCTGATATTCAAAAGCATTTGGCCGTATTGTTTCAGGGAGCAGAAGCTTCTCTTAATGGTTGACAGGAGCATCCTAGATTCCTCTATTACACCATGGAATCAGTTTCATGGAATTTACTTCAAATCCTTTAAAATCCAGAGCTTATTGAATAGTCCTTTAAAAATAAGAAATTTCAGTGTGCGCCTGTGGCAGGATTTGGGTAGTGCGACAAGGAAAAACATTACAGGAAGGACAGACGCATGATCTTAGCCTTCTTGTGAGAATTTTCAAATACATGTACATGAGAATTGGATTCCCTTTTAAACTTCAGCAGGAACAGTCGTTGTCTCAGGAAATTTTTTGTAAGAGTTTTGTTAAGAAGCAGGCTTCCAAAAAGTTTTTTTTAAAGTATTCCTTCTCAGTCTGTAATGGTTAGAGAACTCCCCTTTTGCAGAGGTTTCCAAGCTCAGACTCTGCTTCGTGCCTCTCTCCATTCCATCCGTCCTGATTTACCGCACACGGGCTGACGAAGTTTGGGGCAGGGGAAGCACGTTGCCCTACTTACTTGCCCAAGACTTTCCAATGAGTGGATAGCTGGGTGACAGTACCACTTGTGAGATGCTCATTTCCAAAGCTTGTGAAATCATAGTCACGGAACTTGACTTTGAAAGAATCTGGCATGCTACCTTCCACATTCTGTTGAAAGAAAGAACCGTCAAGTTAAAAGACCAGCGGTCCATGCATCTCTCATCCATCCCTAGAAATAATCTAGCTGGTCTCTTTCTTGGTTAACTTTAGTTGCACTCATGCTATATTCATGTTGGTCACTGTCTGCAGACTTTCTTTTCAGTATTGCTGATTTCCTAGAATTGCAAAAATATGAACAGCATGTGGTTTTGAATGAATTCATATGATTTGTTGGATACTGCATGAAGAGATGCAGTATCTTTTACCAGTGGAATTTTATGCATGTGCTCAACATATCTTTGGATGCCCCTGGTTCTAAAGTGCATTTTCATGGGCTTAAAAATGAAATTCTCCCGAAAGGTTATAGGACTTATGTTACATGTAAGCTATATATCATAAATTGGATTCATATTTTTTAAGATGTGGCTTTACAGTAACTTTAGTTTTGCCAGTAAAATTAAAATTTATATACGTGAAATATTCCTTCCATAAATTTACCTTCCTTCTAAATCTTTACATTTTAGTGTTTGATCAATTAGATCTTGTTACATATGAAGAAGTAGTAAAACTGCCAGCATTCAAAAGGAAAACACTAGTCTTATTAGGTAAGTTTGCATGCATGAGTGGCTTTCTTAGTCTCATCTTCAAAACATTTTATGAACGTTATTAACAATTGTCAATTTCCTTTTTGAAAAATGACATAGGTGCGCATGGTGTTGGGAGAAGACACATAAAAAACACCCTCATCACAAAGCACCCAGACCGGTTTGCGTACCCTATTCCACGTAAGCAACGTTTCCCTCTCGTTTATTTTGCCTAGTACTTTTTTCTTAATTGAAGTAGTCAGTTAACAGTGTTGGTCAATTCCTGGTGTACAGCATAATGCTTCAGTCAAACATGTACATATGAATATTCGTTCTCATATTCTTTTTCATTATAGGTTACTACAAGATACTGAGTACAGTTCCCTGTGCTGTACAGTATAAACTTGTTTATTTTATATATAGTAGTTAGTATCTGCAATTCTCGAACTCCCAATTTATCCCTTCCTGGCCCTTCCCCTGCTGGTAACCATAAGTTTGTTTTCTATGTCTGTGAGTCTATTTCTGTTTTGTAAATAAGTTCATTTGTCATTTTTTTAGATTCCACATATGAGTGATATCATATGGTATTTTTCTTTCTCTTTCTGGCTCACTTCATTTGGAATAACCATCTCCAGGTCCATTCATTCCTAGTACTTTTTTAATCGTGTAATATACGTATTTTTTCTGATTACATAAGGAATAACTGTTCATTATAGGAAGTTTGGAAAATCCAAAAAAGAAAAAGAAAATGAGTTAACAATAATCCCAATAATAGTGCTAGCAATATTTTGTTATCTATCCTTACAGGCTTCTTAGTGTGTTGTTGTTTAACAAAACTGGGCTCATACAGTCTGTTTGTAACCTAATATAAGCATGACCCTGATAAATTATTCTTAAAAAAAATAGATTTGAATGATAATCTAGTCTTCTGTGATACAGCAATATTCTCCTTAGTAACCTAAATTGATGGCTTTTAGAACCCAGTCAGTGTGCTTTTCATTGTTTATTATAAAGAATTTTAAATCTGTAACATTTTATTATCCTTCTTTTCTGTATCTTATCCTTAATCTCTTGCCCTCTTTGTTTCCTCAAGTATAAAATGAAGTAGTCCCAGGAAAGTAAAAAGGATTTGAGATCATGTGAAGCACTTAGCAGATACTGGATCAATAGTAGCCATCTTGCCAGTATCATTTATTTTATTATTATTATTATTAATTATCATCATTATTATTCCAAAGTTTAAAATTTGAATCCCAAAAGCTTTCTAGCAGTTAGAGCTTTGTTCAGAGTGGGAAGAGCTGAAGGAGAATGATTTTTAAGAGCAACAGGAGAAAATGTGAAGAGTGACTCCGTCCGTCCTGTAGGGCCCTCCGATGCCAGGTCAACACCACTTACTGTTTTCTCTACGCCCCAGAGAGCTGTGAGGCTTCATAAGAACACCCTCATCCCAGAACCCTGTCTGACTGACACAACAAAAGAAATTCATCAAATATCGTTTCAGTTGGTACCACTGGCGTTTTCTAGTAAAACACTTAGAAATGTCCTTTTAATTCTCCTTACGTCTAGATCATGGGTAGAGCAAGCTTAAGTAACATCTGGTTTCCTCTTGACCACATAAGCAATGGAACTGGCATGTTATTAAGTGGCCAATTAACTAGCTTGGTTTTAAAGCATGCTGCTGCAGACCCCAGTCCTGTCTCCTTGCTGTCATATTTGAGCCCGGATATGTCTGTAACAGGTTTACCTGCCAGGATGACTGAAGGTAGGACAGCATCAACCTAGTATGCTGCTGGGGGGAGGGTGTAGCTCAGTGGTAGAGTGTGTGCTTAGCATGCACGAGGTCCTGGGTTCAATCCCCGGTACCACCTCTAAAATAAATTTTTTGAAAAAAAACCAATTCCCCACCCAAAAGAAAAACACTGTAGGGGAGTGAACAGCTCACAGAAGTACAGCATATGCTTAGCATGCACAAGGTCCTGGGTTCAATCCCCAGTACCTCCTCTATAGATAAATAAAGCTAAAGCTAATTACCTCCCTCACCCAAACAAACAAAAAACAGGGTAAAAAAAAACATAGTATGCTGCTGCTTCAGCGTTTTTTGTGTCTGGAGAAAGGGTTCTTCTTTTCTTTTAAACATCCACATTTTGACGTCCATAAGCATGTGGCAGTTCTGACAGCCTGGCTGGGGCAGGAGAGAGGGGACTCCGCATGGGTTTGGACCCATGTACAACCAAGAGTGGTATAAATTTCTTCTTGCTGAAGGAAGAAAAGAAGCAAAGGGAGAAAGAAAATTAAAACTCATGTTCCTGGCTTGTCTAGAAAAACATTTCCTAGACTGTGTTTTGCAGAATACTGATCCTCTTGGTATCCCACAGAACTAGACCTTATTGGCAGATATTTTAGTATACACTCACTCAGGTCAGGGGTCCACAAACCTCTTCTATGAAGGACCAGGTAATAACTATTTGAAGCTTTGAAGGCCATATGGTCTCTGTCACAACTAATCCACTGCCACTGTGGCATGAAAGCAGCCATAGACAGTATGTAAACACATGAGCGTGGCTGTGTCCCAGTAAAACTTTATTTACAAAAACAGACAGTGGGCCAATCTGGCCCACAGGCCATAGTTTGCCAATTCCTGGTCTAGGTCTTTCCTAGCTAGTATGGCCACATATGGCTTCAGTCACTGTGTTTTCAATATGGCATGCCATTTGCTGTATTCTAACATTCTTTTGCACGCTGCTGTAGACCAGCACTGTCCAATAGAACGTTCTCTGACCATGACAGCATTCAGTAGCTGCAGTGTCCAGTCCAGTAGTCACATGTGGCTATCGGACCCTTGAAATGTGGCTAGTGAGAAGGAAGAACTGAAAAATTTAAATAACTATATGTGGTATTCATTTTTTTTAATTCCTTTTGCCTTCTGTTTAAGACCTAACTGCATTAAGGCATACAGCGAGTTCCATTAATCTTGGGTCATTTAGTGTCTTTCCCCTGTGGTGATCCATGAAGGGATGAAATAGATCCCATCTAAACACTGAAAGATTCGCCAAACCAAACAACTAGCCAGCTACTGTGGTCCAATATGACATAAATACAACTTCTAGAATTTACTTCTACAAAGGTACTTGGAGCAAGGCATGAGACATACTACAGAAGTCACAGGTTTTAGGAAGAGACTGAGTTTCGGTAAGTCCATTGGGAGCATCAGCTCCTAAGCTCAGCCCTTTAAACCTCTCTGGATATGTAACTTTGTAGATACAACCAGACCTCCAAAGAAAGATGAAGAAAATGGAAAGAACTATTACTTTGTATCTCATGACCAAATGATGCAAGACATCTCTAATAACGAGTACCTGGAGTATGGCAGCCACGAGGATGCGATGTACGGGACAAAACTGGAGACCATCCGGAAGATCCATGAGCAGGGGCTGATCGCGATACTGGACGTGGAGCCTCAGGTACTGCCCGCCCCGCCCCCCACCCCCACCCCCCCACCCAGTCCCTGTCAGCCTGCTGCATGCTCAGCTCAGGTTCTGAAATCAGAAATGCCATCAGAACATCACAGGTCACATAGTAATCTCATGGTAAGCTACAGGAAAGTGTCATTATACTTAGAAGCTCCATAAAGTGCCTGATTAGGTCTGTGCCTGCCAGAAATCCTACACTGGTCTGACCTCAGGATGTATCTGGCACTTTGTTAACACGACAGCCACCTTTCCTGTCTTGGTACAGCTCACACTGGACCATCAGAGCCTCTGCCAGCATCCTATGTTAATCGCCAGCGAGAAACGCTGATCCTGGGGCCTGGGTCTGAAACACAGCAGTAGCTTTATGAATGCAAACACAAGGGAGCCCAGGGGCTGTCAGACGGAGCAGGGTCTCAGCCTCTGCCAGCTCTCTCCTGAAGGACGATGCCTGACCCTGAGCTAAAACGAGGGAGGGCACGGAGCACTTGGAGAGGACTCAGAGCTAGACGCAGAGACAGCAGATGATTTGCAGATGCCCCCCATGCTGGAAGCAACAGGGGTCACTACACCTGAAAAGGAGAAAGCCAAAGGCCTTACACCAGCAACGCTGACAAGCTGTTTCTCACGTCTGAGGAAAAACTCAGCAGAAGTGGCACTCAGCCCAGTAGGAAGGATTTGGGTGTTGTAGACATCAGGGCAGGTTATAGGAGGCTTGTGGGTGCCCGTGTGACTCCCAGACCGACCTGCACCAAAAATCCCTCATCACTCATAAATGGAAGCAGAATACAACCTGGTGCAACAGTAGACCAGCTCCCCTCAAGCAGGCTCGTTTTGTCACAAGGCTTACCTGGCTATCCCAGACGGGGACGGTCCCTGTTCAAGGGCCACTGTATGAGACTTGGGGTCCACTAGCCATCCCCAAAGGGAGGCTGGAACCAGCATGGCCAGGGTCTCTGTGACCTGCGGCCTGACGGCTTAGTTACTCGGCTCCAAGATCCTAGCATCATGGCCAGTGGGTTCATCCGTTTCTGTGTCACAGCACCTGATGGGGTTCTTGAACTTGGAATCTGGTTAAGGGGCTGGGGAAGAAAGCAACAGAAGGTGAACATGATACAGTTTACTTAACAGTTAACTTGGACCTTTATAGAACTAAATATGTGACGTGTAACGCAGACTGATTTTTGTTTAACTACTAATCCCTCCTTACTAGGGATTGGAAAAACCTTCTGGCCAGGGGTGGCTAGAGGCAAAGTCTCAATCCTGGTCCTGGTCTTCGCCGTCCTCTCCTTGGGTTCCACACTGGTCTTCACCTGAACGTCGTTTTCTGCTGGTAGTAATGTCTCTAGCAGTATGCTGGCTGCAGGCCTCCTCAGACCCCCTCTGCATTACCTCCGTCCACTTTCCAGGGCTTTCTGCCTCACCTGCTGCTGCCACCGCCACCATTGCTGCCACCGCTGCTCCATCCACTCCCGTCATCCAGCTCTCCCCTCGCCCTCGCCCGGTCATGCGCTGCTCTGCACTGCTGAACGGGAGGCACTTCTCTCGGCCTTTGCAGGATGCCCACAGCAGTGACTTTCACGGGTGGCCCTCGGCCCGGGCTGGGCATCTTCCCTGCCCCGTCCGCTGGATGAGCTCACTGCATTCTTCCCTCCCGTGTGTCCCCTCCTCTCGGAACTGTGCTCCCGGGACGCTGCCTGAGCCTCTTAGGGCCTGTGGCCCTCAGGCCAGGAATCACCCAAGTCCCGCTCCTCTCATTGGTCTGGTTGACCACTCTGGTCCCAGGCTCTCCCGCCCAGGGTCCACACTGCCTGGGCTTTGCCTCCAGGCCTCTCTCTGCCTTCAGCCCACTCTCCCCCTGGGGGAGGCGAGGCCCACACCCTGCCTTCAGGACGCCCGTGGCCATGACCACCTGCTGTCAGGCAGAGGCTCACGGCTCCGGGCGCTCTCTTCTCCGTGCCCTTTCCCGCCGGCCTGGGTGACTGCCCACGCCGCTGTGTCTCACGGACAGTTTGAGACGGCTTGCCTCAACCAGCTTGTCTTAGGTAGTTTTAGTTTTGTGCCAGGAGCTAAGAACACAAATAAGATGGCAAGCTGGTGAGGATGAAATTCCTTCCTCAGTGTTCATTGGAAGCTCTCCATAACGGGAGGAGTGCCATGTGGCATTTTTAAAACCCTCTCACTTGTGCCACTGCTGACACGACTTCACTCTGGGGGAACCAGAGAGCCTGCATGCCGCCGGTGGTCGGCTCATTTAGGTTGTGCCATCGTAACTGATTTTAGACAATTTGGGCCAAATTCAACACATGTCTGACAATACTAAATAAGATACTGTCCAACTTTAAACCCCAAGGACCATGTAGAGACACTGAACTAGGAGAAAATGAGTAACCTGGCTTCTTTTAAAATAGTAAGAAATAGATTGTGTTTGTTTCTACAGTGCTCTGTATTTTCCCAAGCATTCGTACTCCTCCCCTGATCCTTGTAACCCTGAGACAGATATCAGTATCTCCTTTTGGAGATGAAGAAACCAAGGCTTAATGTAATTGTGACCAACAGTCTTGGTTTGTATTTGGGATTTTTTTTTTTTAATAAATCCCAGCCTCCTTTCACTGTGCCATCCTAGAAGAGTTAACCCCAAGAGTCCCTAAACTGGTCCACCTTGTGTGTAGCAGTACAATTTAAATCTTTGTGTTAGCAGTTAGAAAAATCTGTAAGGCAGGCAAACCTGATGAAAGCTATAGAGCTAATTTCTCACGGAAACAAAGCCATGGCTTGGACAATAACAAAACTGAAATAGGTCCAGTGTGTAATGAAAACACTTTCAGATTTTAGTTTTATTCTGATTTGTCCATTTGCTGCATTGAAGAGTTGACAGTAGCAGAACTTTTGTGGGTTTGCTTTTGGTCCCAGAGGGAAAGGTTGTCATCGAGGGTAGGTACAGTGTTGTTAGGAATCTGGGCTTGGAAACAAGAGCCAGGTTCTGACTAAGGGCTGTTTTATTAAATCAGTTGGCTCTCTTAAGAGTGTTTCTGGGGACACTGTGCTCTTCCTTAAACCCTTAGATTTTTGTACAGAATGACTCAGATGCTTGCCCTTAAGTACTTTTTAATTTTGCAAACCAGGTTAAGTTTTAAGGAAATCTACTTAGATACTTGGTCCAGTGAGTTTTTATTCCTTGAGGGTAGTAACCTGAGATTAATTATTGGCCATAGATGAGCCATTAAATCAATGTCTCTCCACTAAGGAGAACTAAAGAATTAGCTTTAAATGTTCAATTAATGCTTCTTTGGCTGTTTGAATCCAACGTATTTTCAGTGATCTTTCTAGAGTCTTTCTCCCCTCTCTGAGATTCAGAAAGAGATATTTGCCTATAAATATTAACAAATTTGTGTCTCATCTTAAAAGCTAAAAAGGAAAAGGGTTTAGAGCACATCTTAAAGCCACCTATTAATGGCCTGAGGGAGGGGTATCTTGTGAAGCAATTCCATTTCTGTTCCTGAACATTAGGCCAGCTGAGGCCACACACAAAATGGCACCCCCCTCAGACCCATCAGTAGAGCAGAGAACAGCTGGGGACATGTGTGGTGACTCTGCTGAAGATTTAAGGGCAACTAGGCAAGAAAATCTCAGGCAGTATTCGACGCACCTTAAAACTTTTGCAAAGACAGTAATACAGGCTAGAAAGTTAAAGCCATGAAAAGAAGGAGGAAACAAATATACGAACCATAGAGGCTACTGAAGTTAATGTGATAAACGTGAAATGTAGCTCTGAACTTCCTGGCAACCAGGCCGAAAAGGAGAATGTCATGGATCACATAATTTTCATCTAATAGAAGTATGCCTGTTCTTTCCTTGGAATTGCTATATTCATAACCTGACTTGTAGACATAGGAGGCATTTGGCAGCATGATAAGTATAGTCGTCATTGACAGTTCCTGTCTCTGGGGATGGAGACTAAGGGCGTGAAGGCAGTGCAGAGAAGGGGAGTCTGCAGCGAGCTGATGGCTTCCACGTGATGGGTTTTCTAGTGTAATATACCAGCAGTCTAGAACTTAAAATGTTCAGAAAATTGGGAGGCTCTCAGGCTGGGGTCACTGAGTGGAGAAAAGGACATTCTACACCTGGGGTGGCATTCTCGACTTAATCCCTGGGTCCCACTCAGCATCTAGGCTGCGTGGCCTGCCACCTGGCACTCGGAGGAGCTTCAGGGATGGAAGCAAAGGTAGGGACTGTGCCTTAGGATTCTTTCCCCATCTAAGTCACCCAGAAGGTGGCTCTGGGTGGGTGTCAGGTGATGACGAAAACTTGTCTCAACTGACCCTAGAGTCACCTGATTCATAGCACAGGAAGGATAGGGAAAAAGGACATCTCTAAGTGAAGATCCCTATTAAGCTCGATTGAGCTCAACGTGGACTATTTCACGTTGTTTGTTTCTTGCTAGTCTTCAGTCACAAAAGGATTTGCAGAGATGCCAATGACCTCGTTCAGAAATAAACATATGCGAGTTTGACAAGCTTTCTCCCACGGGGGATCCAAGGCTGTGACTGTCACAGGTAAAGCACTTGGGTGGGTGGGGAAAACAGGAGGCCCAGCTCCCTTACCGATGAGACACTGCAGCTGAAATTCGGAAGCATAAGCCTCGTGAAGGTGAACCTTGCACTAAACGGAAAAGTCAAAACCTTTACTAATTCATGCCCTTATATTCATAGAGGCCAAGAGATTCCCTTCAGCCACAAAAGCACAGTGCCTTCTAGTCAAACCTGCCTCAAAACATTTTGTGAAAATTGTAGGTACCTGTACCGCTTTTACATTTTTGTTTGATCATAGGACAACTTCTGCCAGGTGCCATTTGGGGGATGGGGGTGAGCGCTGAACAAGACGCAGCCCCTGCCCTCAAGATGCTTACCCGCCATTATCTGGGCACTTACGTTTCCAGGGTGATGGGCACCACAGATGCCCAAATGATGTCGGAGCACACGAGAGGGACACCTGACCTCGGCTCAGAGCTCCCAGAGGCCTTTCAGGAGACAGAACACGCAGCCAAGCAAAAGGGAGAGTGAGGACAGGGACAGAGCATCCAGGCAGAGAGGAGCAGGAACAGGCGGGCCCTTCCTGGAACTAAAAGTGGTTCAGCAAGGCCAGTCTGTGGAGGGGAAGCGGCAGAGAGAGGCTGACGGGGTAAACATGGACCAGCTCATGAGGGAGGGAACTGACATTCATGCTAAAAAGGGTACATTTTATCCCAAGGCCAAGAGGGAGCTGTTGAAGGGGTCGGAGTGGAGGAGCGGCACTATGGGACTTGCATTTCCGAAAGCTCATTCTAGTGACACGGTTCAGTATGATTGCAGGCAAAGCAACCAGTCCACATGCTGCTACTGCAAACCAGGCACAGGAGGAGGGAGGAGGAACAGGGCGAAGCAAACCACTGAAAGGCCACTTAGAAAGCAAACGATGTGGATAGCAGAATAGACTTGTTAAATTCTTGTCTAAAGGAGAGTAAGATAGTCACCCCTGATGCAGACTAATTACACATCAGTCCCTTGTGAACTGTGTGCCTGGATACGCTGGCTTTTGTGGCAGGGCTGGGGGGTGGCTGTAACCCCTGGGAGTGTCCTGTCCTCACAGGGGAGGAGCAAAAGCAGTAACCCTTACAGAATCATCTCCCGCAGTGGTGGGTGTCTGCTTTGCCTTCTGTCTATACAGACTAGGAGCTCGCACGGTTAGAGGTTTCTGGTGCCTTGGCAGGGAACCTCAGAGGTCCCTCTCCCTTTATTGCAGCATCTTCTCTTGGGCCTGCAAGTTCCCCACAGCCTCATGGCTTCTCCAGCGGCTCCAGGCTCCATCCCGGACAGGTCTCCCTTCCCTGTGGGTCCCAGAAGGGGCGGGCTTCCATCAGGGTACCTCAGAAGGCCTGTGTCAGCGTGAACACTGGCCTCGTGGTCACTGTGGCCAGGGTCTGCTCTGCACGTTAGCAATCTGAAATGTGAAGTGCGGTGTCGTGGGCTCCCGATGGGTGCTGAAGCCAGCCTGCCGGTCTGAGCCCGCACCACAATGCATTACCTAGAGGTTAAAATTCAGGTTACAGTTCACAGTCAGGTTTAAATGAACATTAACCAGCATAATCAGTGTTCACTTTCCTAAAGAAAAATAAGTTGGATGGATTTGTGAGATTCATAAGAATGTCCAGTTTGTCAACTTTTATTTGTTGATGGCTCTTGTCCATCCTTTGGCTGATAAGTTGTTTACAAAGTTGGTCAATTTAATAATACCTTGCTAGAAATTTGAATTGAGGGCTTTTCCAGGTGTGTCGTTTTCTATGGACCCACTTGAATGTTGTGCGTTAGTTATTTCTTCTTTTAAGTCTCAATTTCTTTGTTTGCACAGGCACTGAAGGTCCTGAGAACTGCAGAGTTTGCTCCTTTTGTTGTTTTTATTGCCGCACCAACTATCACTCCAGGTTTGAATGAGGTAAGAATGAATCCGTCTTTCCCCTAATCAGCACACCCCAGAGTAAGGATGCATCTGCATTGTGCATTTAGGACCAAAGCCCCATCTCATTAAGCCAGCTAAACAAAGCTCCGCTTTGTTCTTGATGCCAGCCATTAAGATTTCCCGAGCTTGAGGTTTAGGAATTAAACAACGTGGAGAAGTGTGGTTCTTCTGTGATCAGAGTCGAGGCAAGTTCAGGCTTTAGTCTCCAGAAGTCAACCTGCGGCCTTATCCGTTAAGTCTGCTCTGTCCAGGAGGCCCCCGCCCCACGGGGCTGTGCTGAGAGCAGTGGGCCCCAGGCCAGCTCTGGGCCAACCATGGCTTTGCCCGAGGAGAACTGTAAGCAATCTACAACCTCGGTGGGGCTGCCCAGGTGCCCCTGGGCAATCTGTGGAGTGGAACCCATGCAGAATTTCTGCCCAGACCCCTGGAGACTACACCAAACCTAGATGTGAGCTCTGTCCCCTCAGTCGGCAGCACCCTCTAGCGCCAGGCTGGTTTCGACAGCCTTCTGTTGCTGGGCAGATAAGAAGGTCATTACAGCTTGCCTGGTAAGTATTTTGCTGCTTATCTGCTGCGGGGTAATCCTGCAGCCGAAGCGCTACACACAGTTATCCTGAAGAGCGTCACCCCTACGGGGCCCAGAAACCCCCAGGAAGCTCTTGGCCCAGACTCACCCAAGTTGATGACAGTAAAATCGAGGCTTGGAAATGTTTGCTTTGTGTCCCTTTAAGGAAGATTAAATATTTAGACTCATACGTCACTCATATTTCCGGTCATCATTTTTTGTCATTTCATTTGCAAAAGATGTATTCCTTGGTAAATTCTGCTTTTCCATCTTATTGAATACACAAACATGTTTGAAACGCCACATTGTGGTTAGCTCTTACCTTTGGTTACCATGTATTTTTCTTGAATTATCATCTTTGCTTTGTTTTTGTTTTTGCCTGTTTTCCTGCCCTCTTACTAATTTTCCATAGCTGCCAAAATGGTGCAGAAAATTGCCTGTAAGTACCAGCTAGGTGATGAAACACAGCCTTGTTTCCTCTCATAGATTTAGAATGTAGACATTTTGTTCCCACAAATCCTTGCTTTTGCTGTTAGAATAAAGGCATTTTGTTTTCACTGAGTTAAAAACTCTGCTCATGCGTAAGTCAGGCCTGCAGACTAGCTGTTGTAGAGGAAGAGACTAGCAAATGACAGCTTCATCTTAGGAGATCCTTAAGAGGGAGCTTTATTATTTGGGGAAGAGAACCACATTAAAAATCTTATGCTTTCAGCCATAAGTTTTCTTGAACGTTTTCATCAGCCCAGCTTTGTGAGCAAATTATAAGCTCTGCTAGTGGTTCAAAGCCCAGGACTGTGTATTCCAATAGAATCCCCCAGCCCAGAGTGATGTGGTAGTAACTGTTCCTTCTCGTACTGGTAGGAAGCACTCCTATCTTTGGGTGAATCCATGTTTCCTAAAATGCGGCTTTTGCTTTGTGTTTATTGTAAAGTAAAGCCACAGTGAAAATATTATGCTTTTTAAGTGCAAGCAGAAAGTGTGTCGATATGGCCTTAGAAGGTGAGATTAACTGAGGTCTTATCCACACTGAAGTAGTCAGCACCTAACATCCAAAGCATGCCATGTCCTGCTTTGAAATTCCGGTAGAAGAGGACGAAAGAGGTAGGACAGTCTCATTTCAGAGTGTCCTGATAGAAAAGATTGAGTTCTCAACTTTTCTGGCGTGTGTCCATCCCCACTGTGGTGTCGTGATGGACTCGAGTGTCCTTATTTCATCTCAAATCCCCTTGCGAGACGGTGGCACCCACAGGCCAAGGCTCGTCAGGAAGCATCTCTTATGAATGACAGGCGGGCCTCAGAGAAGGAGCGGGGTCCTGGGCTGGCAGTGCGCGCCTCTTTCAGTTTTTCTGGCGCTCTGTCATCAGGGGCCCCCATTTCCTAGTAGGCTTTCTCCGTCTCTAGATGATAGCGTTAACGCTCACCAAATCCTGTAGTGGCCAGTCTCGGTCAGCCAAGTGCTTGTTCTTTCAGTATCATTTATTAAGCACTTACTGTGTACAAGGCACAACGCCAAGTGCTGGGCACAGCAGAGCAGGCTTGAGCTCTAGTTGGGGAGAGAGATACTAATCGAATGGCTATTTGATTGTGTCTGTACAGATATTTAAGACTCAACCCAACAGCTCACCTACCTGGTGTTGAGGAAGGCGGAGGTTGGTTCATTTGACTTACAAAGTTTCCTGGTTTCAAATTTGAATTTGTCCATTAAAAGTTCAGCCTAGGATCTGACCCGCAGAGACACAAAGGCAGACTTTCTGGTGACCTTTTAGAGCTCCTGAGGCTCCCTGTGGCCACTGTGGGAGCTGAGGGAGCGTCTTGACTGCAGCAGAGAGTTCAGTAACTGCTTTGCCGAGTTTTTTCCATAAGAGATGTGAGTACTTACGAACAGTGATATTTGGCCATTTCCAACGCAGACCAATTTGAGGGGATTCATCAGAAGCCAATTGCCGTTGTATATGGGAAATGGCCTTATTTCATCCATTATTTGTAACAGCCAAAAAGCTTTTGCCTCTGGCATCCACCGCTATTGCGTGAGGGCCATTATATGTAATTGAATTCCAGGAACACAGTGAACCTCTAAGTAGAAGAGAGAAAAATACAACTTAATTTGTTGTCCAGAGGCAGGAGCTTCCGGGTGCAAACGCGGCTCGGCCCCGGGGCCCGTTGCAAGCGAGAGACGAGGGCCAGGGGCAGGGGGGCAGCTCTGACCTCGCCCCCGAAGCCCCCCAGCCCGCCAGGCTCCAGACAGATGAGCGGCCTGGGGCAGAGGAACGAGGGCAGAGCCGTTTGACTCGGGCTACAGCCCCAACAATCAGCCCCCAACTGACCCTGGAACCGGACCGCTAGGCAGGGGCGAGGCCGTGCGCTGGCTGCAGGGTGTCTGTTTCCTCGGGTCCGTCCAGTTTGGCGTGGAGCCCCCTGTCGCATGGTGAGCAGTGGCGGTTGCAAGCGGTAGTTCTGTGACCCTGCCGTGGGACGTCGTCTCCTCTGTCACGAAGCAGACTTGGCCTCAGGCCGGGATACGGCACATCGCGGTCTGGCCCTGACTGTTTCTGACATGGGGACGAAGAGAAATGGAGGCAGAGAAAGACTCGGGCTGACTTCTCTCTCCTCTCTGCTTCTCCCTCCTCCCACCCCACCCCCGCCTCCATCCCACCGCCATTTAGGATGAATCTCTTCAGCGTCTACAGAAGGAGTCTGACATCTTACAGAGAACATACGCACACTACTTCGATCTCACAATTATCAACAATGAAATCGATGAGACAATCAGACATCTGGAGGAAGCCGTGGAGCTCGTGTGCACAGCCCCGCAGTGGGTCCCCGTCTCCTGGGTCTATTAGGCCCCCCCCAGATATCTGGCACCACCTCGTACATGGAAAAGCCTCTTTGTTCTCGGCCCTGTGTCAGCAGGTCGTGGTCCCTAGAGACTACCTAGTTGTAGTGTGACCTACATTTATAATTATTGTCATGTCCGAATAGATAGGAGGAGAAAAACAATTACACACTAATTTAAAGAGACAGTATCTTTTTTAATCAGTTCTCCTAAACTTTAATAAAATGTATCTTTAAATGTATGTATTATTCAATCCTTTGGAATGTTATATTTTTGGAAATCATAGCTTTTTATTTCCAAGGCCCCTAAAAACTGCACAAAATAGATGCTGCTTTCTATAATCTATTTTAATAATAATAAACAATGATTCTGTTACCTTGACTGGGGGTGGAACACTACATTCTTTTTAGAGTCTGATTTTATGGATTGGAATATCTTTCTTTCCTTTATTTATTTGAAATCAGTCTAGTGATTACAAAACTCATAAATTTTTAAAGGCCTTTTCTTTTTCCTTTTTTTTTTTAGAATAGTATTTTTTTTAAGTCCTTTATGTAACATCCAGATAATGTGATACTGTCTCTTTGAAGCACCCTGTAAACCTTTTAGAGATTTGAAGTTGGGTCTTGACTCTTAATGCATGTGGACAGTCGCGAGCGTTTATGCTGTCGGTGTGTCTGTGTTGGACAAAACAATCTGTAATCTACAGCAAAGTACATTCCGTTCACGGGGCACACCCAGGGGAATAAGAATAAAATGCTATTATGACTAAGTTGTAAACCTATGCACATCCCTTGCATTTCGGGCAACTTTATAAAACAAAAACAAACTGATTTTTATTAATAATAATCACGTAGTGAAATGTGTTTGTAATTTTGTCTCAATTTACTTTGTTGTAAGGTGGGAGGGGGAATCGCTGGTTTCACCATTTCAGATCTGTGTTGTCGGAGAGTATTAACGTTTTAATTAAGCAAAGAAATGAGGATTTTTAATATGTATGTAATTGTTTTAAAGCACCCATTTTAAGAGAATATACTGTGCAATGAAGAAACCAGTTTAGGCATTTGCTATAAACTGAATTATTCCAAAAGAATAATCTATAACAGCCCTGTAAATTCCTTTAAAATGATAAACTAACAGGACAGTTTGACCAATTTTTTTTTAAATATACTTCCTTTTATGTGTTCAATAATTAAATGCCTTTGGGTCCTTCATTTCATTATAGATTTGTTCAGGTTTACAAGCTGATAATCTTTGAGATTTTATAATCCATTTAGATGCTCATTGAACCATCGAAGGCCCAGGAGTGACTATCAGTTGACAGGACAACAAAATACTCTGCCAGAGCACAGCTGGGACCTCGTCTGGCTCCCAGAGTGCAGTGCACCCGAGGGCCACCAATGTGCTGGAGGCCACCTGTGGTTTCTCCTTCCTCTTGCTGTATCCCTTGGCACAGGAGAATTTTCTGTCCTTGTTGCTTTAGAGACATTAACCATCTCATCACCCTTCCACGAGGTCACATTCTCCCAATACAGGAGACTCAGGCTGGGGGTTTTCTGACTTGTTTGCCGGAGATCGGTGAAAGGTTTTTCATTAGATTGTCAGGGTGTGAAGTGGTTCTGTTATCCTGTGATCTTTGAAAAAAATACCATCGTGTTTGCTTATTGTCGGTTAGATGGCCTCATTGATGTGTGCCTTGGCAGGATATGCAGGATGTGTTCTGAGCAGAAGAGCTCCTCTTGAAGGACCACAAAGAGAAGGCATTTGTATACTCCTTTTAGGGTGTCACCCTCCCCTCCCACCTACTCTTATTAAATGATGTTGATTTTTCCTCTGATGTCGTCCTTGGTCGGTGACCAGATGAGTATACAGCTTACAAAGTGTTGAGTGAGCTGCTTTCTGTTGGGGCCCCATAGCAGGGTGACCAAACCACCAAACCAGAGACACTCTGGATGGAGAGAGAAACCCCTAGAGCTGTTTAGGGCTGAGTTAGGATTGATTTAAATTTAACTGATGCCAAGGCCAGACATTCATTCCGTGATGCTACTGGCCACAATCCGGGCTCTTCTCAGTGTGAAAGTGTCCACTCTACCTCTTTTCCAATGAAGCACAAAGAAGAACACAGCACCTGGGGAACAGAGGCTCGCTCCCTCCCTCTGGTAGAAACCCCCCCAGTCCCTCTTGCCCTCTGAGACCAGTTATCTCCAGAGATGCTGACAGTGCCTCTGTCTTTAGGCACCCACCAAGCTGATAAAGGTGGGCCAGGCAGAGGAGAGCAGAGCAATGCCAACCGAAATGTCTGTAGCCCCAGAACTGAGAAGCGTTGTAGCGCTGGTCCTCCCTTCGCCGCCACTGATGCGTCCTGGGAGAAGCGCACAGGCAGGCCCTACTCTCGCCATTGTGCAGATGGCAAAACTCGTGCACCCAGAACTCATTCCGTGTGACTTCTCAGAGGTCATCTGTTCCATTCCACTAATACACGTCTTCTCTCAAGCACTGTCTTTGTGACCTGGCAGAAAATATTTCTGAATCCAGAGTAATTTCAACTCATTGCTGCTGCCACTCCATTACAGCTGTCCACTGAGCAATCAGAGAAAACAACTAAAAAGCTGCTTTAGTGCTTCCATTCCATCAACCAAATCATTTTTTTCTTTAAAAGAACAGAGCAAATGATTATATTCAATCTTTCACTGGTCAATTGAGCCATGTTCTGAGGGCTCTCTCCCACACCCCAAACCCCCTCTCCACAGCAAAAAAAGGGGGTGTTTTTTAAGATGTCGAGTTAGTTGTTAAAAAAAAGTCCTGATTTTGTAATCATAAAGCAGTACTTCCTTTGCACACGCACCATATTCAATTGGAACGCTAAAAAAGAAAACGTCACTCAATTCATCTCAAGTTTCCCAGTGTCAGGATAATATGGTAGCCTTCTCAAATGCAATCAAATGTCTCTCCTGGCAGGTGAGATGGTTTAAAATATTCACTCAGACAGGAAAAGAAATGGGTGACCTACTTCCTGCAATTTGCATTCGGGAGGCATCTTCGGCGCCTGTCCCACGGCTGGTGGGGTGTCTAGATACTTCGAGGCCCTCACCGTGTGAGGGGTCGGAGGGATCGGCGCGTCCTGCCCTTCCCGGGGCCGTTCCATCTCCCACTGCTGATGCCAGCCCGCCAGACCTGGGCTCCATGCGACGATGATGTTTTTTTAAAGCCTTTGCTCTCATTACTGCAGAGGAGGTTTGGGGATTTGTTTTTAAGTCACTTGTAGTTAATCTGTTCATTAAGGCTTTGAGTTCATTCCTTGAAAAAGTGTACTCAGTTGAGCCACCCTTGAAGAAATTGGACAGTGGACGCGCCTGGCGTGGATACTGTCCCTTTAAGGACAGGCAGCCCACAGCAAAGTCTTGTCTCCCACTGTTGTGATGTCCTTTTCTTCATTTCAGTCAGTCTCTTAACTTGGGGCAAAGAGAACAGGGCGCTAAGCTAGCAAGAACATTTCTTGATTAATAAATTCTGAGTTATAATGCCTCCCACGCTGTCTCCTTGGAAAGAGGAGAAGGCACCTTGCAATCAGCATTCCAAACAAGCCCCCTTCGGGTCCTCATCCCTCCTGCTTATTTTCCTCTCATCAGGCTGTGTTTTGTATGTGTCTGTGTGTGTGTGTGTCTGTGTGTGTGTGTGTGTGGTGGGGGGGAGGGGTTTCTCCAGAACTGAACACAGCCTCCTAATTCCATCCTCTTTACAAGGGCTTATGATACCGAGGCTGATCACGACATGGAATAGTGTAAAGGTCCCTGAGCGCTCTTTCTCTTGGTCTGCGCCTCTAATTAATTCTCCTCTGACAAAGATAATTTGCTTCTCACTGCAGCTAACAGAAGGGCTACAAGATTTAACTATGAATCATTTCAATTGGTAGAATTTTCCTCTTCTTACCCCTTTAGAAGTAAGGTCTTCCTCTCCGTTTGGTGTCTTCAGTTACAGGATGTTACGTCTAGGCTCAATGCTTGATTGGTTTTGCCCACACCCACTTATCAGTTTGCCTTAAACTTGGAGCTACTGGAAGTCCCAGGTCTTCCAGCTTAGTGAGCGAAGTTTAGATGTGACATGCATCCAGAAGTGGGAGAAAGGGAGAAAAAAAAGAGTATATTCACCAGTCCACATCCCTTTTGTCTGGTCTTTTCTCTGCTACTCTTGGGCTGCAGCAGGTGGGCAGACCCAGCTGCAGAGAGAGGAGGAGGAGGGGGGGCCACGCCATTTCTAGGACAGGCACCGCCAAGTCTTAGCTCTTGGAGGGGAGGGGGTAGAAAATCCAGAGTTCCCGCCACCTCTCACCTGACCATCAAATCTTGAACCTGTGCAAATGGACCGAGCAAAAGAAAATGGAAAGAGATGTTTGGCACCACACAGGAGATCTCGTTTCTGGCCCCAAGCACAACTCCCTATTTGCGTATGTACAGAAACTTGGAACTTCGCTGCCACTTATGTGTTGGTTCCGTTCTCTCCAGCACATGACCAAAGGAACGTGCCAGTGGTGTCACCAAGAGAGCCCTGGGGGTGACCATCTTGGGACCCAGAGGATGGGCAATCTCTTTTCAAGGAGTTCTGCTTGGGAGTAGAAATAGGTGTTCCTCCACGGTGAGTGGCCCCACCTATTTTCATTTTGAAGAGACCAAGAATTGGGGGAACTGATCTCCGGTCTCCGCTGTGTCCCGGGGTGGCACCCACGCAGGTGGGTGGGAGGCCGCGGGGACAGCAGGCCCGGGGGCCGCCGGGAAGGCCGCACCACCCTCGTGTGCGGAGACCACAGCGTCGTGTTTTCACTGCAAGGCAGGCGCGTCGCCATTCAAACTCAGTTCTGGGGTTGTTCCGCATAAAGTTTTGCCAACGTGTTCTTTTCTTCTGTATGTATAATTGCCTTTTTATAAAAGGTTTTGAAGTATTGTCTCAGTGATTAAAAAGAGAGCGATGTTAACGGTTGTTGTATATTTCACCGTATCCCATTGTACGTATTTGCAGGGTACAGCGAAGCCTTAGCGTGCAAGAGCGTTTGTGCAGGAGGTGTCCTCCAACACCCAGGAGGTGAGGGGATAGGAAAGGTTCGGATTCTTTGTAAATGTCCCGCTTTTCTTTCTGTGTGTATCTATTTACATGCCTTAGCACACGCACCCGCCCCCCGCCCCGATCCCTTTGCCCTGTCCTCAGAACGGCCAGAACGCTGGTGCACTGCCAGTCCGGGACAAGCGGATGGAACCCTCATCAGTTATCTCTTGTGTGACAGGGGAGGAAGAGAAACTCCATAGTATTCTTTGTAGACTATACATACCTGTAGGATGCTGTGTAATGGGAAACCATAGAATTGGGCTTTTGTCATTTCAAAGTTGGAGAAATGTATGAATAAAATGTATAAAACATGAAAAGGCAGTTGTCTCCTCAGATTGCAGGCCAAACAGCTTGAGGACAAACCACCCGACGGTCAGAGGGAGAGGGTTAGGCCTCACAGACCTTCCCACAAAGCTCTCTCCTGGAGGAGCATGCCCCCGACTCCCGGCGCCCATCCTGGCAGCCTGGCTGGTCCAAGCTGCATCCCGAGAGCAGTTCAAACTCAGTTGCTTGCATTTGGATGCAGATCTAAAATAGCTTCAGATTTTCTTTAAAAATAGGGAAAAAATTCCAAGTTGTGACAGCTCTTAAGAATAGCCGTCTAAATTGATCTGAGTGGTGTAGGCGCCCAGCAGGGAAAGGCTGTCCTTTGTTAAACATTTGCATAGAAAGCCCAGGAGGAAGCCTGCTGCCCTCGGTGTTGGGTGGTTGGCTTCGGCCTCTGGTCTTTGGTCTGAGATGCC